CGAGAAATAAAACCACGGGCAGGTGCTTATTCAAATTGTGTTCACCACCCAAAACCAATTATTGCTTCTCCTCAAGAACAATATTGCAAAATCAAACTTCCTGCTTTTTTTTTTTTTTTGAGGAGGGGGGATTTTGTGAGAATTTGTTGAATGACATAAGAAGATACTGGGAAAGCCAGTATTCATAAACACTGGGATCAGTTTGAAAACTAAGGCCTAGCATCTGTTATTGTTAACGAAAGATATCAACCCTTTGCTGTGTTCTCATACACAAAAAAAAACAACATCCGTCAATGGAATGAACTGACTAATTTATCTTCAATATTGTGATCTGAAATGGCTTCAAACATTCTCTTGCAGATTTTTCTTCTAAACAATTGTTTCTTGCGGTTGCTCGTTTTGTCTCAGCCTTACGCATGTGTTCTTAAGGGATGAGTTCGTGCAATCGAGTCCAGGTTTTAACGCTCACAGCCACGCCTCCAATGTAAATTGTGACGTCGAGGGACGACAAGCTAATACGGCTGACAGATTACACTAGAGCACACCTGAAGAGCGCGGGTTCGAAGTAGTTAATTATTATCAATCTGCTTACAATTGACACCCTCAATGGTAGGCGGGTGTTCGAAATTTGGCTGATGTGAAATAATTGCAGTGATGGGAATGTCCACATTATATGTTCTGAAAAGCTCATACACCCAGTGCAATGTCTAACTGTAACTTAACTGTGATGACAAGTGTGTGCCAGTAGTGACACTAGATAATCTGTTGGCTTGTTTCGCATGCCGCAGCTAGGAGTGGAAGCTACAGTGAGGGCTGAAAGCTACATCCAAGTGTTGGGTGTCAGCTTCAGTATCGCATTTTGGGCGTGCAAGCGATACTATTACTTGAGCAAAGAGCAACTCTGTGACCTTCGCGAAGGTCACACAGTTGAAGGGCACCGCTTTGGTCCCTGTATACTTGTAGCGTCTATTCTTGTGACGCGTTAAAACTTGTGCACTAAGGAAATAGTTACAATCTTACTAATCTGGGAAAAGTTCTATTCAGCACGTCGTGTCATAAGCACGTCCTATCGTAAGCAAAGAACACAATCGTGTCGTCTAAACACACTATAAGAAACCCCACACGGTTCGCTTGAAAACTGCATGTCACCAACTACGCTGCTGAAAAGTTTGAAAACATGTGACGACAGCTAACCCCTAAGATTCTAAAGTCGTTCCATGAAAATCACCTCTCCACCTCTTCACTTTTTGTGGATAATGCGAGTGTCCTTTTTTATGTAAATTTAGTTGGTGCTCACTTTCAATCGGCGTGAGCCGCAATTAATGCGCGTTTCAACCATGTTTCGGAAATTTTTGGATTACCAAAAGGAATTCTCGCCTTTTTTGATATTTCCACATACTTGGCACGTTCGTACAAGCACAGTAGCGCTCATGCTTCATCAGCATCACGCGACCAATTTTTCATGTCCTTTAACTTGCATCACACCGCAGCGAATACTGCCATGCACATTTTTATGATTCCTGGACAGCTATTCCCTTTAGATCTGCAGGCAGCACATGTATCAGGCTAAATACAATCAGGGGAAACTGATAGCAGGGTGAAGAATATCCAGAGGTCAGAGCGTTGAGTCACCACATTTCCTTCATTTTGTCGTAATGTGGGCGATTGAAGTTTTTGTATGTACAGGTAAATAAAAAATGCCATTATATATAAAAAAGCCACTCTTGAAACAACAATGGCGGGTGTTAGCAAACACCTGTAACGTAGCGTATTCTATACTTTAAAGAAACTAATTTAGACATTCCATTTTTGTTTTTGTAGATCGCATTTAGTGACTTGTATTTAGCAAATGAAAGAAACCCTAGCAATTGTGATATGTTTGATACAAAGTAGGTATAATAATTTTGTTTAGAGCTCTGCGAGATGGCACCGTAAAGCTTAACCAGATGAGATAAAACAAAACGCCGGAAATATTGCCACCTGTCGACCCAGAGCTATTTACAGGTTCTGCGTTTCGTACCGGGTGCGCACTCTAATTGTACTTTAACACAAAAATAATAAAATGAGCTTTTAACTTTTGTTTTCCTTTTTTAGGTTGCATTGCGTGCAATGACACCAGATAAAACAAAAATGGCTTTAATCTTTCTTTATTCAATTTAATTAGAGGGTTTGACAGACTGTTTTCTACGCTGTAAATCAAAAACGGAAAAATCGACGCTTGCACCCAGAAAGCTTAATCCTTGACAAAAGAGTCATTTTGGTGGATTAATTTCTTAGAAGGGAAAGTACGCAGTCGAGCTCGTTAGACAACCTGAGACTGGGACAAATAAAGTAACGGACAGCCCTGTTTCATGCTGTCATTCTATTTTATTTGTCCCAGTCTCAGGTTTTCTATCAATTATCGATTTGTTATCGTTAAACATTAAGGCATACTTCACTTTCTCTAAAATGTGGGGGCCCACAGCCTTATCCAAGGGAGTGGCGGACGTGTTCGCAGATGACCGAGTTATCGAATAATATAGTTTATTGCGCCACTTTCCGATAGGTGCAGCGAAAAGAAGACGCAAACGATGCCGCAAAGTACATTAATCTTCAACTTGAACATCTGCGAACACGTCTGCCGTTGAGTTTGGCAATTCTGTAGATCTCGTCTTTTACGAGGAAGGAAAGTGCGGCTAAAGGCACATTGGTTCGAGTTTGCATGTGCAGGCGCCGATTTTTCCGGTACATTTTACAACATGGAAGCAATGTACCATCCTATACAATGACCCAGTTATATAGAGTTAAATGTCTCGACTAAATGCATCCCAGAAGGAGTAACGCTTTCTAAAAATAAAATAGGCGGTTTTAGCTGCATTCATTAGTAAAGTTATCTTTTCATTCCCGGCATATTGTGTCCGCCGTACTTGACAACACTATCTTAAATGAAGTGAATGTTTCTTAATTTAAGTGGACTACAAAACAAAAACACCTTTTATTTCGAACTGATGACTAGACAAATGCTGGAATAAAAATACCAATGACAAATGTATAAAGATGTATTCCGTACTTTTAAAACAGTTGACGCCAAGACATTTTAAAGTAAAAAAAAGAAAAGCAAAATCAGTGCTAGATCCACACACGCACGCTTTCTGTTTTTTTTTTTTTCGCACCGGTCATCTGATCTGGTAAGTGACCAAAGAAGTTTTTATATAAGCGGAAACATGGTGTAAAGGGTTGTAAAAAATTTAACGGATAACCACGTCGTGGACGGGATGTCACAAGACTGAAAATTACACTAAAATAAAAAAAAAAACGTTTTTTTTTTTGTAAACGGCATAGATGGGACACGTATTATTTTTAGTAATTTTTCATGGTAAAAGAATTGCGTCATATTTACGCCGTTAGAGGCAATTTAGGTGGCACACTTTAAGCTCCGCCCACAGATCAGTGGCACTGCCCATTAGTACTGGATTGGATTGGCTGCTCAGCTGCCGGGCTGCTCGGCTGAACACGCTAAAAACGCTCTGAGTCTCACTCTCGCAACATGCAGTGCGTCTAGTCTATCGTCTTACACCGCCTGCTAGTCGTGCGAGCAGACAAGCAGCAGCCTCTGGAATCGTCATCCATTACGCCATCGTCTACGTCGTCTGCAATGCCCATGGGACACAGACACGAACGCCGCGCCTCGGCGTTCGTTTTCGCCCTCGTCCGTCTGCTATTCCAAACCAGTATAAAATCGTTTACAACGCTCGCAAGACTCGACCATGTAAGCGGTGCTCTAACGTTCCATCATGCACGAACCACGGCTCAAGACAAGCGTCTGTCAGCGTCTGTCGATTTGCGGTAAAAAGCGGCCGACAGGAGTAAAAAAAAGCAACAAGATAAATTTGCAGTTAATTCGACTTTTAGATTCTTTTTTTTTCGCATGGAATCTGCGAGCAAAGTTAGCGTCATGAAGAAAAATCAAAACGTGACCTAAATATATTCGCTTTGGTAGGCCAGGTGCAGTGCAAAATATGTGAGCTACTTGCCTCTCGAAGCGAAATGACGGGGAGACGCCCGATCGCCACCACCCAAATGGCTCGAAAACATTTACCTGTGTAGGCATCTTCTTTGTATGAAAGCAGGGTTGCAATCACAACAGCCGCGTTCGCGGAAATCAACATATTTAATCAGCACCAACAGGCGCAAAGGAACAAATTAGGCCAGATGTATCAACATGGCTGATGTGGGACGCTAGGCTGAGGCCCGTCCTGCTACGAATCTAAGCACCTGTACAGCGCTACCGAGGACGCATACTTGCGACGGTTCACAGCAAACTAGGTCAGTAAAGGACATGTTCCTACAAACACCATGGTGGAGTGAAAGCAGAACGACTCGCATTCATAAAAAGAATCGAGCTAAAGCCAGCTACGCACGTTGAGCACGCCGCGAATGCTGGCAGCCATATCTGTTATTCTTTGAAGCCGAATCGGAATGGCAATCTCGGGATACTTACGAAAACAATCATGAGTCCATTTAGATTAGTTGCTTCTAAAAAAATAAAAAAAATATTGTCCATAAAAATTGTATTACTGCACGGAGCAACAATTTTACAACGAACATTTTACACACCAATCATCTGTTTAACCAATCACAGCAGAGAAGGTGCTTCGTTTTGTAAGCGCTGGGCGGGGCCTGGAGCATGGCTACCCCCATATAAATTGCGTCTAGCGGCGTAAATATTTCTAAAACAAAAAGTAAGAGAAGTAATCAAAATTTACAAAAGTATATTAAGCTTTTTTTTTTAATTTCATCCACTTCAGTGTTTTTTTTGTGTGTGTTTTTTTCAATGGCATTGAGTCTCATTTTTAAATCAAACTCATGAGTGGAATTGCCACTGGCATTGATAAAATGCAATTTTTTGAACGTATGTTTTACCGATACACCGGATACATGTGGCATAGAAGCATAGGTTTTAAACGAGCATTTTCCTGCTCACTTTTTGGTCGAAGTTGAAGCTGCCATCACGAAGAAACATGTCGCATCCCGCCGAGTACGCAATATTCGGAATCCTCCTTCTAGCGACCATAGGCCCTGGACTGTTCTTCTCTCTTAGAAGAACCGGCCACCAGACTCTCGATGAAGTATTCCTGGGAAGCCGGACTCTGGCGGCAATACCGCTGGCCCTATCTGCTCTGGCGTCTCTTCTGTCATCGGCGGGCCTCATCGCCTTCACTGCCCACTACTACGCGTACGGAATCCACATGGCCTGGTCTTTCATCACGGTCCAGTTTTGTCTCCCATTCACAGTTCACATCATCGTTCCAGTGCTCTACCGACTAAAGATCACCTCCCTTTTCGAGGTAAGGCAATTTCCATACAAAAGCAGCAGAGTTGTTCGGGCCAAAATTTGTCTTTTGGTAGGATAATTTAGAGCCTCGAATCGCCCGAAGATGATGAGGTACGGCAAACTTGACCTACGTGGCCAGAGTCTGGGCATCTTGGCCCTGATTCGCTGTACAAGCACCAATGTTAGGCTTCTCCGCTGGTAATTTGATTGCCATAGGCCCAAGGCATTTTAGAACCTAAATTTTTCAACCAATGCAAGAGTTACGCTTCACTTTTGACATTTTCTGGTTTCATGAGGCAACTTTGGGAAGATATATATATATGTCTTCAATAATAATGGGAATAGAACATGCTAGAAAAATAGAAAAGACGAACGTCCGCCAGGCGGCGCTACCTAGCCGTGCGTGCGTGTTGTGGGGTGAAGCATCGGGCCTGGACAACTCTTGGAGAGAGGCTGACGGGCGTAGTGTAACTGAACAGCAGTGAAGCTTACATTTACAACTTGTGTAGATATATATATATATATATATATATATATATATATATATATATATATATATATATATATATATGAACAGCATGGGTGAAACACTTTTCTAAATGTGACCCCTCTAAATGAAACGAGTTTCGCTGAGACAAAATACGAAACTACGAAACAAGCACGGCCAGGTTGTCCTTTTGCAGCGCCGACGCGGAAAACCACTGATCTCTATTTTAGTAGGCTGGATCGCGGATCGGGAGCACGTCGGTGTCGCCACCGGCGGCCATTGCTTGACACTAGGCAATACACGCAAGTCTATGGAAGAAACGCACAAAAGTAAGCATATCAAAGCATGTACACTGTGCTCGGAAACGAGTATTTTATGGCGCGCTGCGATCCTTATGTCGGGTGTTTGGAGATCGAATCGGTATTTGTCAAACGTCCGGTCGCCGAATAAAAAAATCAAACGTACCGGAGCACCTACGGCTGAGCTGGCAAGCTTGCTCTCGTAGTGGAGTAAACAAAGGAACTCGCCGTCAATAAGACCGTCCTTAGGGAAGCCCAGAAGTCGATGAATGACAAACAAGTTCCATTTCGACAGCGGCTTTCCGGGAGTGAGCGAATTCCGCGTTGCAAAGCCTTCGACTTGTCGTCTGCTAAACCCAACTCAACGAAACCGCCACCGACTCCGCGGTAACTCTAGGTAACTCTCCCCTCATTGGGTGCCACTACAGCGGAGTCATTCTCGACTAGGGCTGTGCGTCGATAAAAATTTTAACCCGTCTAATCGCCACCCTTTAATCGACTAATTAATCGATTATTCGGTTCAGTTAATTTTCATAAATAATATATTAAAAATAATCCAACTCCTCTTGCCTTTGAAGAGTTATTTTACTCTTTGTTACACGGCGCAAAGGACATTTAGAATTGAGAATGCATATAGTTCAACGATTCAAAAACTCACATATTTTTGCTCCAGCTCCGAAGACAAACAAGTTTGTCCACATTCTCCGACAGGAAGACAAGAAGTCGGAGGTTGTGCGATGCTTTCTTCTTTTTTCAGAGAAAGGAACCTCGATGGAGAAGGCGCTGATTTTTGCCTGCGTTTTGGCGGTTTTGGCAGCTACATGTGTGCTTTGGTCGTAGGCGATAGTGAAGCGAATTTACGCTTCCGCTGTACGAAAACGGCTTTTTGCAGATGATGCATTGGACTCCCTTTGAGTTAAAAACTTCGCCGCTGGAATTTACTTTACACCCAACCTTTCCAGCGAGATTGCCGTTCATACTCGTGAACTCGTCCATTTTTACTTGCCGAATACTGGAACAAGTACCCATGGCGTACTTAGCTTCCCAGCTTGTTTTTCCGCTTGTTTGTCTAGCCTGGGCAGGATGTGTAATAGATCCTCAACACGTGAAGTTTCGTAGTTGCGCGGGGGTCATTTGCGGGCCCGGCTTGTTCGTCAGGCCTCGCGAGAACTGTAATGTATGTCCTCGAACACGCGGCGCTTCGCGAGCGCGAGAATCGAGCCTTGCTCATAGTACCTGGCTGGGAACGTACTTCTTTTGAGTATCCATTAAAAAAAACGATTAACCGGTTGAACAATTTAATCGCGATTAAATCCTTAATCGATTAATCGGAAGGTTAATCGATCAATTACCCAGCCCTACTCTCGACCACAAAATATTTATTTATAAGAACTGCGAGGATTCTGAGTTTTAATGTTTGTATGCAAGCTATTTGACGGGCTTTTCGAAAATCATCCAAAAAGTTTCAGTGCCGACAACAGCCTAGAAACAGGGGAAAACGTCACTTGTTCTTGTTCTTCCCAAAGAGTTCCATGCATTGGCCGGTGTCAATCAATGGCCGCCAGTGGCGACACTCGGCCCCAGCTGCCGAGACCGCGGTCCACGATCCAGCCTACTACAATAGAGATCAGTACGGAAAACGCTTGGCCGCTTTACCGGCAGTTTGGGGTCTTTGGCGGTCACCTTGAATCGCGCGCATAGAAATAGTTGGCGTTTGATCGTGTGCGGGCGAAAAGGTAGGAGAATAAGAAGTAATATTCCGGTTGAAAACGGCGTGCTGGACCCGAGCAGTCGGTCAAGAACATTTAGATTTCTTTCTGTCGGTGCTGCTGGGGCAAGATCATTGCACCTTCTACAGAATAGATGGTTGGCTTCACTACACGGCAATTTGTACGCCTAGGTGGCTCCACCGCACGGCAGCCAAACGTGCTATTTGCCCTCTGCCTTCCGCTTGCCAGTGCTCGGAGCAGACAGGCATAATGTAACTTACATAGGAGGCACTGGCCTGAATAAATTTCTTAAAAATTTGCAATTTTTTAAAACAATAAGTGAAGCCAAGTGCCCTCATAATGGGATAATTATTATAGAAAACAGTATTAAATAAACTAATATATGTTTGTTTTTACTGAAGTGTAATTAAAATCAATAACTCGCCTTTTTGAATGGTGTTATTTTGCTTATTTTAATTATAAGCGTAACAAATACAATTCAACTACAGGCTCGCAAAATTGTCATGCGCAGTGCGCTCTCCAAACTTTTTTTATGATTCTGATACGAATTCATGGCGATCTTAGGAAATGTAATTCATGTAGCTTTTCTTCTACATTTTGTGGATAGATTACAAGGGAATAAAAACAGGGACAAATGAACCACTCCTGTTTAAAGACGAGATCCACCTGCATATACACACTTGTTTAATAGAAGATATAAAGCAACGTTTTTTAATGAGTCTACAACAGTTCACAAGATAATTATTCGGGCCACGTAATGTTATGAAATAGTGCAGGTGGACACTGGACATCCGGGAGAGTGGTTAACTCCACAAAGAATGTTCCTTCCTGCTACCACCAAGGAACGTGCATTAGGGAGCCACCACTGAGAGACGAGGTGCGCGCATAAAGAGAAGTTAAAAAAAAAAGTGTAACTTTGTTTTAGTTGCAATTTTGCAGGATTATCTTCCATACTCCCTCTATGAAGCAGGTGGCATTTTTTACTAATGCTTCTCTACTACACTAAAGGTGGCGCAACCTATTGTCTGAGCAGAGAAGAAAAAATATTTTCCTAGCCCCACCGGTCTCTCTATAGCTCGCCCTCCCTTAATTCTTCGACTGGATCCCGCTTGGCACGTGACCAGAATCCTACTCATAAGCCCGCGCGGTGGGGCTTGTGCCGAGATTCGTCGCCATCACTGAGTAGCGACGAGGACACCTGCTCCGCTGTTTGCAGCGACTCTGTAGCTGCCCATGTGTGGCAGATCATCTATTTTTATTTTTTTACGACGAAAGCTTGACGATACGTTATTTACAGTTAGTTTTTTCCTAGATCCCATCACCTCTAAACTAAAAAATTATGTTGTTTCAGCGAACTATATTCAACATTTTTTTTTTTTTTTTCAAAATAAAGTTTGAGACGAAGCAGAGCGAGGACAAATGACTTCAAAGTCTAGAAGCAAAAGTTACAGAATGAGGGATGCCCTGACCAAAGTTCAGTTGTTTATTTAATAATTTTTTTTTTCAAATACCCACAGCGCCATGGAGAATTACAGTAGGGGGAGGAAGTTGAGAATAAAAATATAAGTAGTTATACAAAAGCTATGAAAACAATAACACCTCATAAATATTTCTATCTCACAACAAAGTTCACGCTTCTTAAAATGCGGTTTACGAAACACTACGAGGCGAGTGCTAAATAAAACATACCGTTAGGAACAGCGTTACCCACCGAGTATGGCAGACCGCTCTAATCCCCCATTGTTTTAGTAAGCATTGAGTTCATGAAAAAATCGGTTTTGGATTGGAATTCATTAACCTTGATCCTTTCACTGCGATATGTAATGTGGCGGGTAAAGGTAGTCTGTTTTCTTTGACAATGCCAGTCCTACAGTGAAATATGTTATTAAACAATTTGAGTCGAAGGTTCTTCCTCCTGTAGCTTAACTCCTTCATTTCAGTCTATCTTTCGCAAGTGACATACCAAGTCGCCTGCCATAATTGTTTAAAACAAAACGGGCAGCTCGGTTTGGTACCTTCTCTAGTTTAGTTGTTTAAATAGCACTGTAAGAGACCCATATAGTGCAAGCATATTCTAAAATTGAGCGAACATGCGAAAAATGAAGTGTTCCATTCAGAGAAGGTAGCACAGACTGAAAATTCCGAGAGAGGAAACCACGCATTATTGAGGCTTTAGACACAGTATAATCAACTTGCTTATTCCAACTTGGGGTCGAAGTTAAGAATTCCCAAAGATATTTGTATTGGTAGGTGACAGTGACGGGTTTGTCATTGATTGTATAAGCACCAAATGACAGATCAAGGCGTCTAGTAAAACGAATATGAACGATTTTCTAAAAAATGATATTCATTTCCTACAGTTTTCATCAATCAGTAATAGCATTTATACCTGCCTGTAGAATATCGATGTCATCACTTTCTCGTATTTTTCGATAAACAACACAATTGTCCGCAAAGAATCGCACTAAAGACGACACAAGATTGACGATATCGTACA